TAAGCAAGAATTGGGAACTCTTAAAATACACATGCTAACTAGGAGTCACCAAGCCAAGCAGAAATGCTGTACGGGGAGGCATGGCTGTCGCCCCGTTAAAGGCAAAGGTGTCTGAGTCAGCACCGCAAGGGTGGCATCTTCACCTGTTTAGAAGCCATAAACTGGAGTCTTCTCCCAAGGGCAGTGCCTGCAGTAGTCTTTGAAGAACTGAGCATGGCTCACCCCTTTTGAAACACAGCTGCTGTGGGACGGGGCATGTTGTGCAACACCTGGGCAGTTACAGCACCTGCCAGATTTTGTGCTCTAGCTCTCAAGATTAGCCCTGTTTCTTTTCTCATGATTATTTAACAAAATTCAAAAAACAGTCTTTTGAACTGACTTAAATCCAAGACAACTGGCTCCCCCCTTTCAGGGTATCACAGTCATTAAATTACAAGCATGTTGTGCCCTGCATCTGAACACATCTATTTTGCATTTTGTTAAATCCAATTGGTTTCAACCGAGGAAGCATAAGGGGACCTTGCCCTTACCTCCCTTCTCACTTTCCTCCAGCCTTGACACTGGCCTGGTGATTAGCATACTGTCATGGGAAGGAAGAGACATTGATATGAATGAGGACACACCTGAATCCAATTTCCTTGCTTGTCCAACTGGTCTAACAACTACACTAACATGAGCAACCTGGTTTTGAATAACAGTGTCTGCTGCTACTCTGGCTTGTTTTGTTGGTTTTTTTAAAAGGAATTATTCAAGCTTTCACATTGGCTCAGTCCCTCATGAGTCTTAGCTGACACCTCAACTCATTTCTGACTGGCATAAATCCCCAGTTACACATACCAAACACTACAAATGCTATGAAGTCTTTCAGATAAATCAGAATATGCCTATAGAGTCCAAGCACCTCCATGACTGTGCTGCTGCTGAAGAAGGTTGGTTGGATTTTTATTAGACAGTCTCCAATGAACCAAATCTTAGGACCATTTAAATACTTACATGTGATACTAAATCTGTATACTCCATATAGTATCAATTATTTTAACAAACATTCACTATGAATAGGCATATCACTATGGATACACAGCTTGCAGATCAGTGTCTCAAGTTCTGATAAAAACTTACATTCACCACTTCTAATAATATTCAAGAGCTTTCGTTTAGGACCTGCATGGACTGAGCAAACTGAACAAAGGAAGTGAATGAATGTTCATTTTACTTTCTTCCTTAGAAAAAGTAGAATGTAGTAAGTAGTCTAAGCATTAAAAAAGTGGTAAGTAGATTTACACAAAATAAAAATTGTAAAATGTCCTCTGACATTGATAACTAACGTAATTTTAAGATTTCCACACTGATCGTGATTCAGCAATTTTACTTTCTAAAACTAAATCTACATGGGAATGAAAATAGTTTTAAATTAACTTGATTATCACACACTAGTCCCTATTACTCAAGCTGTGCCTTTTTTTCATATCCAAATTACAAAACACTTTCAATAGCATTCTGTATAGTATTGTTCATTTTCCAAGGACATGATTATCTGAACATGTGGAAAAGAGAAGCATTTTAGCTAATAACTATACTTATGTGTACAATCTATCCAGCCTTTCTGTAAAGGTACAATGTGAAAACCCTTTCCATTTATTTCTTATTGTACAGGGTTTCCTCTCCATTCTCTCAATTAAACTTTTTTTTTTTTTCAATTGAACCCTTTACAGCAGCAGTTTTAATGACTTATTCTCTGAAGTTCTAGAAAAGCTACTTCCCTTTCTGAGGACCATTCCATGCTCATCATGCGTTCCTCACAGCTGTTCTGCCAGTCTCCCAGACATTTCACCTCCCTACCTCTGCAGCTCAGCAGCCCAGATCTCCCTAGCAATGCTAAAAGAGAAACAAAGTAGCTGGCAGAAAATGAGTAAGCAAAACAAGCAGCTTTGCCATCAGGTGTAAAAAAAGTGATTAACTAATCCAACTTCTACACCTGCACAGCTTCTGAGATTTATGTTACATGAATCCCAGCACTGACTCATAATTTCAGGGGAAAAAAACCACCAACCAACAAACCCTGCATACATAGTTTCTGACCTTGTAATAAACTCAGGCTGAAATGTCTACTTTGAAAGAACCAACACACATTTTTAACCACATTGGTTTTGGTTGTTTTTTTTTGTTTTTTTTTTCATTCCAAGAACTTGGCTCTTTTGTGCTACTCATGCCCCTCCTATTGTGAGACAGACTACACCAGATGACAGTAAATTATATACTGAACACCTTACCTTGTTATGCTCTTGCCTGCTTTCTCTGCTTACCTTCCAGAGTTCATTTTAGACCTATCACAAAGATCTCACATCCAGCTGTGCCACACTAACACAATCACCTTTAATCTCCCAAGATTCCTCTTGACCCAGCTAATGATAAAAGCTATGGTGTAAGTAAGAGCAGGTATGACCTGGAGATTATCAGAACACAGTATCATCACAGGGCTACCCCTAGCTGCCTGTGGGTTGAGAGATTTCATGTGATGATAGTAGTCAAGGTAAAGAAGGGTGAGGTGCTTTAATTATACCACCATTTAGCTGTCAAATAAGGCGTTTTCCAACTATAAGGCAACTATTTTAAGACTTAAATTATGCATTTTAATGTAATGAGATATATTAAAACGGAGAAAAATAATGCAAAAAAACCCAACAGCGTATAGAACTGCAGTATGGCTACCAAACCACGAGAAACACATTTCTTTACATGTGATTAAAAACTCAGAAATTCTAGAATTATTTAGACAAAAATCACATGTGCTTAATCAGCTATCTGAAATTTTGAAATGGAACAGGCATAGTAAATTACCATCTTTTTCTACTAACTGCAAAGAAGAAATTAAATTATTTAATGAAACAGGGTTCTTAAGTATTAAAACTTCCTTTTGGGACTGCAATTCCATATCAACTGTAATTACACCTGGAGAGGGGAAACCTAAACACTATTACTTCATCCGTACTGAAGTAGAAAAAATAAGGTGATAGGATAAAAAAAATCCCGAACTATCAAAATTCAAAGCAAAGAAGAAATCACAGGCATGTTGTTCTAATTTGTCAGCTCTCAGGAATGTATTTTTGAAAGGAAAAGGACCTTTTTTTTTCCAGAAGTACCAGAATTTAGTCCTCATAAATAATAAAGTGGACTAACGACTTCAACCTAGTATAGGTATTAAAAATCTCATGCTCTTAATAATTCAGTAGTTAAAAAAAAAAAACAAACCTGAGATGGAGCAATACAGTAATGGACTGGGGAAAATTATTTCATCATACCATATTTTATAATTTCAATTCCATACAATCCAACATCATGAATTATTGTCAGATAATAATGTATTTTATACCTCTGATGAATCAGTACTACTAAATAAGAACAAATTTCTGCAGTTCAAAATTATATTTCTTCAGACAACCAAGGTGCTAAATATGGGTTCTGTTAACAGTGATTTACCAAGGAGAAAACTCAGATAACTATATTTTAAAAACTCATTTATAGCTGACAATGAAATAGTTAGTAATGTCCTCTCCCCTCCCCCACCATTCCAGGTCAGGTACATTCAACCTGAATGCAGAATTAATAAAACTATGATGTAACTTTTCACCAAACCTGTTGCATCATATAAATTTAAAAGCTTCGGTGCTCAATTACAGTCAAGTTGCTGTGGAAATCATGCCAGCTGGAAACTCACCCACCTAGTCCCGAGCTAAAAGGTCTGACTGTTAACTTCCTTAGTTACCTGTGGCATGAAGTTCCCCGGGGCGAGAGACAAACAAGCACACCCGGGGGTCTGTACCACTGGAATTCCTGCCGTGCAGGTTTCACAACGTCCATTACTCTGCTGTCACCTGAAAAGTGGTCTGTCAGAAAGATGCTTCAATTTTATTTATTTTTAGCACTAATTAAAATCTGAATTACAGAATAAGGAAGTCTTCCTTCAAGAAAAGACAAGTCACTCAGACAAAAGAATTAGATGAAAATACCTTTAGATGAGATAGGATTTTGTCCAGTGATTAATGTTTTGCCAAATGTAACTTACTTAGAATGTAGACATATAAAGAGGAAAAAAAAAAAAAAAAGGCACAAACTCTGAAAGGCATCAATGAGCTAATTTTCTCTGAAAGAGCAAGCTTCACTATCCATAACTTGCATATTCTTGAAACCAAGAACAGTATCACTTGCAGAATTTGTTATGGCAGAGCTGGGATAAAAACCTCATAGAGATACCTAATGAATCACTAGTTCACACACTACACTTGACCTGAAGCTGCTTCCTTTGCCTACATACTTGTCAACAAAGAACAACGTGTAGAAGTAACGTCAAAATGCAGGCAAAACAAGTACTGTGCCACGTTAGAGATAGCTACAATGAAGCAGAACCTAGCTCATAGTTCTGTTGAACTACGTGGTTCAACAGAAGGCTCAGGAAAAATAAAACCACTACTTTTTGGGAAGGTTAATGAGTTTTGTAACTTCTTTAATATAGAGCAACAGATTCCCTCTGTCCCCTATGTCAAACCAAACAAAATCAAGCAACAGAAGTCTCAAAAAAAAAAAAGAAAAAATCAATTAAAGAAACACACGGCATCTCCTCCTCGGCTGAGCATGGCGACACTGAACGCAGAGCTGGTTACACAGGCTGAGGCTCCCTACTTCTTGGCCGCTTCCAGAGGCGGCCTCGAGAGCTAGACGTGCCTCCAAACGCCTGAAACCCCCATTATACCTTTTCCTCCTCAGCCAGCCAGCCAGCCAGCCCGCCCACCTCCCGGTACGCTCTTCGGGAGACTGCCCCCCAAAAACGTAGCCTCAGCGCTCTTCAACACCCCGATACCCACGCACAACGCGTGAGCATGCGCAGAGAGCGCCAAAAGATGCTTTCGCGGCGAGCGACGCTTGCCATTGGCTGTCGGAGATTACCGAGTGCTTTCGTGCTCCTCCGACTAGACGCCGAGGGGGAACGAGAAGCTAAACGGCCCGAATGCGGCGCAGTGTATTGTGGGGCGGAAGAGGAGAGTCACCGCTCTGCTGGGGCCGCCATCTTGCCTGCGTCCGGACTTGCTCCCGCGTTCGGGGCCTGCTCTTTCTCCTCACAGCGCAAAGCGGTGGCAAGTGGGAGAACGACAGGCCCGCCTGGGCGGTGCTAATGCGTGCGGAGCTTCCTCGCACTTCTCTCCGGCGCCGCTAGCGAAGGGGGCGGGGGTGGTCTGAGCGGTCATCGGCGCGGCCTCTCCTTTGCCGGGATGGGTCGGTCTCGCAGCCGGAGCTCGTCCCGCTCCAAGCACACTAAAAGCTCCAAGCACAACAAGAAGAACCGGAGCCGATCGCGATCCCGCTCCCGGGAGAAGGAGCGGGCGCGGAAGCGATCTAAGTCCCGGGAGAGCAAGCGGAACCGGCGCCGAGAGTCCCGCTCCCGGTCCCGCTCCAACACGGCCCCCTCCTCCCGCCGAGACCGGGAGCGGGAGCGCGACCGCGCCTCCTCCCCGCCCGACCGCATCGACATCTTCGGGCGCACGGTGAGCAAGCGCAGCAGCCTGGACGAGAAGCAGAAGCGGGAGGAGGAAGAGAAAAAAGCGGAGTTCGAGCGGCAGCGGAAAATGTGAGCCCCGGGTCTGGGCTGGGCACTTCGCGGGGGCGATGGTGAGGGTGCGAGGGGAAGGAGGAGGACAGGAGGTGCTTCGTGCCCTGGTGGCTTTCCCTCCGTTCTTTCCTCCTCCGGACTAGGGCCGCCTGCCACTGGGGTGAAGACGTTTAGGCCCTTGCTGAGGCCTAGTCTCTGCCTTGTTTCCCGCCATCCTTCCCTTCCCTGAAGTCTTGGCTCCCTCAGGGGCGTTGAATGCGCCCGCCCCGCTCCCTTCCCGCGCCGGCTGTGCTCGATTCCCATCTGCGGCTGGTCTGCTCAGAAACTTCCTCTGCGGTGGGGGCCTCCGCACCGCGGAGGCTTTGTGCTGCACTGCCACACTGCACGCCCCTCCCTTCACTGCGTGGCGAGCTGCTTGTGCGTAGAGTGGAGGCGCCTGGTGTTGCTCTGCTAGGGATTTAAGAAATACCATGCATCGATTACTGAGGGTTGGGGCATAGAAGGATGCAAGAGAGAGACTCTTTGTCAGGGACAGTAGTGGTAGGATAAGGGGCAATGGGTTTAAGCTTAAACGGGAGATTTAGGTTAGCTATAAAGAAGAAATTCTTTATTGTGTGAGTGATGAAGCACTGGAACCGGCTGCCAAAGGAAGTTGTGAATGCTCCATCCCTGGCAGTGTTCAAGGCCAGGTTGGATGGGGCTTTGAGCACTGTGGTCTAGTGGAAGGTGTCCCTGCCTGTGGCAGGCGGGTTGGAACTAGACGATCTTAAGGTCTTTTCCAACCATGACCATTCTGTTATTCTTGCCAAATAGGACAGTAGGATCTGGTGACTTGTTTCGTTTGAGACCTTTTCCTTTTTCAGTTTTTGTTGTGAGGAATGTGGTTATTTTTAAGGTCTAAAGAGACATAAATTCTATTTTAATGAACGTTGGATGTGCATTGAGATGTTTAGCGATATCAAATTATGAAAGAGACCTTTATGCAGCAGAGATAACAACGGTTTTAACAGTTGTGATAAGGTGGTACTTGTTCTTTGAGTGTTACAGTTGCTCCTTGGAGCACTGAGTGTAGAAGCAGCACGTGTTTTTATGTGTGAAGCCAAATAGTAATGTTAATTCTAAGGTGGAGCTTTGAGTTTTATTGAACGACATTGTTCTACTGAAATACTGTGGTTCAGAAGGCTTGATCACCCTGAGCTGTCACTTTCATTTCTGTTTGTGAATAATCTCCTATCCTAACTTCAGAATTTGGCAGTGATGTCATCAAAAACTTGCATAGTAACACAAACATGTGAAAATGCTGAAGGCTTGTTGAGTCATTGATACTAATTTTGTGGTTTATAATTCTATTCAGTACCTAAATTAATAAAAATATTCCATGCATATCTGCGCTGAAGAATTGGAATGCGCTTAACAGTTTGAGAATGCAGTGTAATGCAGGTAATAGTTTTAGTATTCTGGAGCTGGTTTAGTTCATGCGTAAGTTTTCTACATGAATCAGCTTTGAAATTTAAAAAAAAACCCTGTGAAGCCTATATAGGAGGAATATGACATTTGAGTGATATTGGGAACCGGATAGTAGGTTTTTGAAGGAGAAACAATATTGGAAAAGATTGGGTATAGAATTTTGATGCTTATGGAATACAATTTATATTCCAAAAGAAAAAGTAATAACATTTAATAGAGTAGATAATTTTGTATTTGAGTAAGTCATATGTAGGAAGTACTTCCTTCCTAACTAAATTAACTAGGGGACAGTTCATATATTGAAAGTCACTTTATTAGTCTCATGTCTGTTCAAACCTTGATACGTAGCCGCCTGCTTTTTCTTATAATGCTAGTTTTCCATAAAGGCCTTGCAAATGTGACATTTTTCCCCATCTGAAATCTGTTTAAATGTAAGCAGTGGCTTTTCTGTAGATTTCATGAAATTAGTCTTAAGAAGTAAATGGTTCATACTAAAAATGCTTTTACATTAACGGCTTATCTGTTGCTCTGGTGTCATGGCTCAGTAGGTCAGGATGATAAACTTACACCTCTATATAAAATACTGTAAGTTCATGCAATTAAAATAAGTTGGTATAGTCTACAGAACAGATCATTGAAATGTATATCTGGTTACAGTTTTATTTTTGTTATAAAGTCAAAGCCACTATATATATTATTACATATTTATAATGTTGCAGCCTTTGAATGTGAAAAGATACATTTTGTTTAATTAAATTTGAATGGAATTACTTGAGCTGAGAAGAAAGAAATGTGTGCAGGCACAGCACTTAGTAGTACATCCATCATCAGTTGCTGTATCAGTACAGGATGGTGAGAGTACTTGCTGCTGAATAAATACTCATGGAGGGTTAAAGAAACCCCTTTAAAATAAAAGGATGCTTAGTATATAAAAGATGTTTAAAAATTTGTCCAAAAGGATTGTAGGTAGTTATGTTAGAAGCCATTATTATGCTTTATTGTGATGCTGCGATAAAGATGTTAAGGAGAGCAGAGGTATTTGAAATTTGATAAGGTAGATAATAACTAGATTACAGACACAACTTCTGATTCAAATTGCGAATTCTATTGCTTCTGTCTTAGATACTAGGGATTAGTTTGATTCTTCTGAGGTGGTTGCTTTAAGATAAGTTTTACAAGATGTTTTCTTAAAATTGAGACCATTTGAATTCCTGAAGGGTGAAGGATGGCCACAGTTGGATGAGGTCTTTTATTTTTATTTTCAACTAAAAGTTACCAGGAAGTCAAGATAAGCTGTCTCCTCAAGCTTAGTCTCCTAAAGAAATTAAGGGGTACTAAATACGTTACGGTCTGAATGGGTTCCCTGGGATAGAAATACTGATTGTCTGAATATTAATTATCCTTAAATGTATGGCAAAATGTATATACCTATGTATATAAGGTATAAAACTGTTTTAAAGCGGTTCAGGAGCGTGGTTGATGATGTGTATTTGAAAGAGTTTGTTTCAGTGCAACCATTCTTTATTCAATAAAAAGGTAATACATTTGCATTTTAGTCGACAACAAGAAATTGAAGAGAAACTCATAGAAGAAGAAACTGCTCGAAGAGTAGAAGAGCTTGTGGCTAAACGCGTAGAAGAAGAGTTGGAGAAAAGGAAGGATGAGATTGAGCGAGAGGTTCTCCGCAGGGTGGAGGAGGCTAAGCGCATCATGGAAAAACAGTTGCTCGAAGAACTCGAGCGACAGCGACAAGCTGAACTTGCAGCACAAAAAGCCAGAGAGGTAACGCTCGGTCGTTTGGAAAGTAGAAACAGTCCATGGCAAAACTTTCAGTGTTGGTTTGTGCCTCCTGTTCGGTTCAGAAAGAGATGGAATACAGCAAATCTAATTCACTTCTCGTATAAACTTGCATTGCTGCGAAACTTAATTTCTAGCCTATTCAGGGGAGCTCACTGATATTAAACAGTTATTCTCCTAAAACCTGAACAAGGATACTGATTTTTAATGGAACTGACCTACATATTTCAGAATTGTTTGAAACTTTTGCCATGGCTGCAGGATTAATCAGCGGTCCTTTCATTTTTGGGGAAGGGTATTGAAAATCTGTAATTTTGTATCCTTAATTTGTTTCATTTTGTTTACCTAGACTGTAAGAGGCTTTTGCCTTCAGTCAGGCAAAAATCAGGGTCCAACAGTGAGCTGCAGTACCCGTCTTTAACAAATAGGTTTCTTATTCTTCATTTAAAATGAATGTTTTCCTTGAGCAAACACTGGACTAATTCTGGGACTTCGAACATAAGCCATCCACGTCTTCACGAAGGATCTATGTCCAAATCATTATATCTAGTTTTAATAACTACTAACAACTCCTCTTTTTTTTTTTTTTTTTTTTTTCCTCCTCCCAGAAGTTATAAAAGAGCAGGTTGCCCTTGTCTGAAGTCAAGCTGAACATGTGACTTGGGTTTTTTTGGTTTTTAATCAGCAGCTGGAGCAGAAGCTGAAAATGTCTTTCTGTGAGACAGTAATTTGCTACTAAAGGCTTTGATGCCTGCCTGCACCAATCATTCCAGGATCCAGAAATTTCAAGGCAAATTTTAAAATTGTAAAGGAAATTTGTGCTAAACAGAAGTCTCAAATGCCTTTTTCATTCTACCTCCTACACAGTTTATCTTAAATTAATATTTTGATTGGCTTACAAAAGGAAAGACAGTAGCAATGAAGCTTTCCCCTTCATATGATGTGTGACTTGTCTGTCACATAATATGTTTAAATTGAAAAAAAAAAAACAACAAAAAAACAACCAACAAACCAAACCACTGAGATACAACAAATATCAGGACCATTAAATCACACTTGTTCTGCAAATTCAAACCTTACTATCAAAGAATTTAAATTAAATTTAGATGTCTGTAGTGAGCAATTGCTTCATGTATGTAGATTTTCGTTTGATCAGATGGATGACTACTTTTTTTTTTTTTTTCCCCCAAGTATTTTTGCTATTGTCAATGTGATGTGATGAAGTCCCATTGGTTCTTTGTAATGCAGAATAACCCTCCATGCCTGGAGTGAAGTGTGCTAGCTAGTAGCTGGTTACTAGTCATAGTAAGAAGTTTTCATATGCTTGCTTTGTTCGTATTAACTTTTTTTTCTTACACAGACACAAACCTCTGGCTAACTTTAAATCTTCCAAATATTAAAATAATTTGGATATATATTACGTGAACTGAAACGCCTCCAAAACTTTCATGCAGTCTTCATATTTGAGTTGTATAACAGAGTTCCATAAATTCACCAAGAAAACAATTACAAGGCTTTATTTCCTGATCTTGCCTTCCCTGGACTCCTGAATTCCAAGTTCAGACTGCAAATGACAGTTTCAGCTGTCTTAAAATTGTCAAAATATTGAATGTTAAGTCCATTCTCCCCATGAAAGAAGCCCATAGCTCCATGAAGTATGGATTACCATTTGTATTTTTCACTAACAGTAAATGTATTTTTCTTATTAATTGTTTGCCTTAGGAATGATTTACATATTTTTGTTCCTTCTTATCATAAACATCTGCATTCCTCAGCTCAGCCTTCCCTGTATGTTGTTTCTTTATAAATGGTTGAGCTGCTGATGCAGGTATTGCCAAGCTAACAGTACAAATCATTTTAAAGAGGAAGCTGGCGTGTATGGCAGCCGAGGAGCACACTCTGCAGGACACTGGACAAGACAGTAAATATTCAACTTTTAATGCTGATTAAAGGAGTATAGGTAAAGAATACGTAGGTATACTTAATTGGTGAGACAAACTATTCACTTTATTTATATTTTCTATATTACTTTTTAATTTGGTAAATACTATCCAGTTTTTGTAGTTGTCCTTGTTGATTTGTGTGATATTAAAATTCTAGTAATAAATTGTCAGGATTCTGTGATTAGGGAGGGTTTAGTTGGTTGCTGTTTGGACTGGGCGGGGTTATATAAATTGAGTGCTAGAGACCAGTATTAGTGGCTGCACAGTTTACCCTTGTGAGACAAAGTAGGTGGCTATAAAGCTGCCACTTTAAGTCAGTTCACAAAAGAATTCTGAGAAAGATTAGTGAATGTGCAGAAGTGAGTATTTTACTTTACTAACATCTTGCCCTGTCCTCCCGTTTAGGAAGAAGAGCGTGCAAAGCGTGAGGAACTAGAGCGAATACTAGAAGAGAATAATCGAAAAATTGCAGAAGCACAAGCTAAACTGGTATGTAGTTAACTGTTCTGTAGGGGAATACAGGTCCCTCTGCCTGATTTGCAACACAATTAAATAAACAAATTGACCCTTTCTGGAGTTTGTCTGTTGCTGGTTATGTCAGTAGTGTTGCTCTTCTCTTGAGCATATGAGACCAGATGCTTAGCAGTAACACTGGTTTGAAAAAATAGTTCAGGTGCTGTTAATTCAGAGGAAGATAGATGCCTTCAGAATTTAAAAAGTACTTTTTTTTTCTTACTGTATCTTACAGGGAAGGTTGAACTAAGTTTGCAAATTATGTTCTGCTTCTAAAACAGAAGTGACTACTTACGTTTTGTTGAGCAGGACAAGTACAGACTGGATTTTTGACTAGTATAGCATTGATGTACAAGTGCTGAAAGGGACTTTCAGCATAAGCTTAAGATGTCTTACATTACGAAAGTCTAGTTTATACTGGTTTCCAAGACTATTTAAGCAGGTGTCTGCCTCTTGAGAACATTCAGTATGATGTAGCTGATCTATTAACGATAACCCCAAACTAAGGTGCTTGTAAATCCTGATGGAATTCATACCGGTTTCAATTACCCAAGTAATTACACCATTTTCAGATAAAGACAATTCTTCTTAAAATTGCTGGAGCTGTGTCTGCTTTACACCTCTTTCTGTTTTACCCTTTTCCCAACCTCATATGGTGGAAATGGGACAATTAGAAAATTGAAAGTATAAACTGACAAAATGAACAAAATAAGCACCTTTAGAAGACCACTGGAAGAGCTGTAAGAACCGTAAGTCAGTGTAAGGATTGGCTTGTTAGAAATCAGGTAAAGATGGTTTTGAATTTGGAAGGGGGGGGGGGGGTGTTACATGTATTTTTGAGTGGGGAGGCTTCTGAAGGTCTGTTACATCATTATATTGTGCTTTCATCTGACATGACAGGTGTCAGGGGAGTTTCTCCATGCATACACGGACTTCCTTAATTAAAATGTAATGTATTGTTTGCAAAGCAGTGCTGAAAAGCATTGCCTGTAAACACTCAAGATTTCAATACATTAGCTGTAGAAAGTGTTCAGTGTTTCTTCTGCGTTCAAATAAGAGTTTACAAATAGTTTCATTGAAACCAACTAGGGCCATCTAGCTCAGGTAGAACTGCTTACATACCTGTGCAGGATTAGACCTGTTTGGAAGTTAATACAGACTTGTAAATTGCTTTTATGACTACAAAATATGCTGGCCTAAATTCTACAATTTTCATATATAGGCTGAAGAACAATTGAAAATTGTTGAAGAACAAAGAAAGATTCATGAGGAGAGGATGAAACTAGAACAAGAGAGACAACGTCAGCAAAAGGAAGAGCAAAAAATTATCCTGGGCAAAGGAAAGTCTAGGCCAAAACTGTCCTTCTCACTAAAAAGCCAGGATTAAATTGCAACTCTGAACTCTTAAACAAAAAAACCCAAACCAACCACCACCAACAAAAAAGGAAAAATGGAAAAAAAAAAACAACCCAACAACTTTGTATGGTAGCTTCATGTTGAAGTGTGGGGTTTTTCTTTTTTTTTTTTTTTCCCCTCTCCATTTTTTCCTTTTTTTTTTTTTTTTTTTTTATTTTGTCTTTTTTTTTGAAGTCTGGAAAGTTAGCTTGTTCTGATAGGGGCCGTGCTCTGCAATTCTTAATTTTTTAAAACTTCCATTAAGTTAAACCCTTATCAGATCATTGTTGCATTTTAGAGTGCAGTCTGTTCTATCAGTTTTGTAACTGTATTAGTGGTCTGAAGCAGATCAGATCACTTTGAATTGTGGATGATCTGGTAAGGTTTTACTGACCTACTCAGAGTTTGACTCTGATAATTGACAGGACTTTATAGTGGGTATTGCTGACTTTTAATTTTATTTTTTTTTAAGTCAGTAAATACATGAATAAATTGCCATAGTATTACTGGACATCTGTGGTTTATTGTTAAATCAGTGTCCTATGATACTGTCCCATTGTTGCGTTTGATGTTCCTGATACAGGTAAGGAAATAGTTTGTCATTTCTGCAATGAATACATAGAGGAAGTTCAGTATCGTCTCTGTTAGATTTGTTTTTATTACATTGACAGCATTCAACCAGCTTTCCCCATTGTGTAAATAAACTGATTTGCTGAATAAAGTGAAAGTCTTAAATTCATATGTTTAAGTAAATTTTTTTAGTACACATTTATAAATGGTTATAAAAGTGACAATTCACGTTATTACATTCAAGACTATAGTAGTATTTTTTTTTTTATTTTCCTTTAAACTACTGTGGCTTCTACTTATAATGCAAAATTACACACAGTAACAAATCCCTGCAGTTGTGAATGTTTTTGATGGCTGCTGCTGTTTTCATGAATGTTGGTTTTTATTCTGACAGAGACTTATTTCAGCCATAGTATCATGTTTAAACAGCTGTTTGGCTTACTGCACTCAGACCAATACTTTGGTATCTAATCCCTTTCGGTTCACCTCATAATATAGTATATTGTATAAGTTAAGGTCATGACCATATAATGAATCTGATGGATCCTAATGGATTTAAAAATTGGAAGTTTTTTCCCAAAGGACTGGACTGGCTAGAATACTTGAAGTGAAAAACGAAATGAGATTCTGTCTAAATACATTGTTTTAGCCAGAAAGCAACTGTTATTTATATACAGATCTTGAATGTTGTCCATTTATATATACAGGTTTTATTTTGAAAAATTAAATTACAGATTGAAAACTATATATAAAATTCCCCTTTTTGTATATAATTATTCTACCAAAACCTGGATTACTATAGCTTGTCCAGTTCTAAAACTTTCTCCTGTTGGTGTACGACTTGGGTATTAACCGTAAAATGAAAGTTACCAGTAGTTGCCTGAGCATTTGAATGTCACTGGACAAAGTTGGAAATAATTCCTGATATTCCCAAAGGATCTGTTTCTGTAGGTTTGGCAGATTAAATGTGTGGGAGCAAGTTGACATGCATTGCTTTGTCCAGTATGTTAAGAAAAATGTGAAGACAGTAAAATACCTACACTATTACTGTGTAATTTGTCTATATATTGTTGCAGAAGAAGGTTGAAGGTTGCTTAATACATAGAAACAAAAGCTGAAGCCAAATAAATCATGTACATGACCTGTTGGCAGGAGCAGGCTGTATTTAAAACTTAACTGATACCTGTATTTCTAAACCAGAAAACATCCCCTGTTCCCTTATGAGAAACAAGCTATTAAAAGTCAATACTCAAAACAGACCTATGCATTTTTGTTTCCTCTCATCTTCTGAAAGCAAGAAGTTCTCATACGTGCAGTTGTGGTATCAAGTATTTTCTTCTAATAGTGAATTTGCAGCTAAATAAAAACATCTCTTTTTTACACTTAACATTGTGTAGGCTTAGACTTTGTTGTTCCAGTAGTGTTCCTTTAGGACTACTGTATGAACAAAATGTCTGATCACAGTTTGATCACCCCTTCTGCCATTCCACACACCTTCCTACCTGCCTTTCCTTCTCTCTGCCCTCAAAAAAGGAAGAGCAGCTAAAGCGGCTATGTATTTCTTTTCCCTTCCCCCCCCCCCCCCCAAAAAAAAAAAATAAAGTGTTCAGTTGGTAGAAATCACTGTCTCTTGGCTTGTCCTAAAGTATACAGTATTTCTTGGGATAGGTTTTGGTAGACCTAGTGTGGGAGGATGCCACATTTTTTATTCTGGGGCTTGTCTTCTTTTCAAAATTATCATAGGGCTTCAGGGATGCTGTCATTTTCTAGGAAAAATAGAGATGCACACAGTTTAGGAGGGGGGTAAAGTGGCATTTGATGATAAGGATTTGATGTTCTTGCATTCCTTTAAAACATGATACCTGGCTAATGCAAAGTAGGTTAGAACATAGGCTGACACATATATAGTGAGTATGAGCTCTGTGGGGGGGTCTACAGAAGGGTATTGGCCTACATAGAGAAACCTCTCCTAGAAGTTGCATTGGGTGTTTAAGTTTGATTTCATTACAGTTCGAAGTTTCAACTTAAATTTTGGTTAGACGATTCTTGGTTTATTCTGGAGCTTTGTGTGTTGGGTTTTTTTAACTCCCTTCCCCCAGGGAGGCAGGTAGGCATTTCCTGTTACCACTTACCTTCAGCAGTATTCATTTACCTTCTATGATAAGATATCTTAGTTTTCCCAATGCCTGTTCATAAATGCCCTGGAGCATTATTTTAATACTGAACAATGCATCTCTCCAGCAGAGGTGGGAGAGAGCAGGAGGCCTTTACAGCAGTGTCCTAGCAGTGTGCTGTTTGGAGATTTGTTAAACTGCCCTTTAAACTTCCCATGTTCATTATCATAATTTTTCCAAGCACAAGTAGAAAGCTGACTGCAGTGAGATACTTTGGAGAGCTGGTGTCCTTGAAGCTTAGCAAAGCAGACAATTAGGTTGGCAAGATGTCTAAGCTGCCAAGCAACTGTGTGCCTGTGTATAGACAGATATGTCAGTATTATCTTACTGAAGTATCAATACTTCATCTACTTCATATCTTGTCTTGAAAAAGAAGGATCTGTCTTCATTGTCGCTCCTTTTCTTTGAAGCTCTCTGTCACCTCATACACTTCACGTTGCTGACTTGAAGATTGTAAACCCCTCTTTCTGATGCTATAGTCGTTTGGACTTTTTTGTGCCATTTTTTGCACGTACACCTAATATGAAGGTGCTGGCTGTGATTCACTTTGAACTGCATGAAGCATCTCTTTAAACATTTTCAGAGTATTTGGGGGATGTGTGGTCCTTCTGGCAAGCAGGAGGAAAATTATTAGCTCAGTTATTGCAGGGTCTCAGTGCAAGTTCAGGTGGAATTCATGCTGATAAAAAACACTTCAGTTTGCATTACAGAGGTGATTTATTTCTGAAGAGAACGGTAGAGCTGCCTGTGTGCCTAAGGCTCATTCCAAGGCAGGAGGATATGGTCGAAGTGCCTGGGCTGGTACAGTTTTGGACCAACAGGCTGGTCCAGTTGGAGCTGAACCATGACTTTCATGCACCTCTGTTCCATTTCTGTGCTAGTACTACTGAACACATGCACGTTGGGGTTATCCCCATTTTCCCATCCTGCTGTTTTGTTTGCCAGCTGGGGAGTGCTAAAGCTCTGTTGACATTTCTATGCTGAGCAACCTAATGCTTCCCATTGTCTTTGCTGGACAGATGAACTAAGGGTTAGGCTGGCCCAGTGGTCAGCTCTGCTCAAGTGTATGTAAACCTCTACAAAAAGACAGTCATGCAGCTTAAGTTTGATCCCTGGACTGGTTTTTCACCCACGTTATCACAGACCACAAAATAATGCAGGGATTTTTGTTTTCACAGAGAGATACTTAAAATCAGTATAAAAATAAGTCAAATGGAGAATTAAAATGCATACTTAGGATGTACTTAACTTCTTGCCTCATTTTATTACAAGGCTGCTTGAATTCTTTAGCTGTGTTCTCATTTTCTAAGAAGCTATGGTTAACCAAAATTTCGGTTATAAAACAGACATGGAGGAGACAAATTAACATCTAGACATACACTCTACCATAAAGTGCAGAAAATGCAGTTAGGGTGTGAATGATATTTTAGGAGCTGTTTCAAGTACCCAGCACACTTGGCCTTTTGCACAAACAATAAACAACCCATTTAAATCAGTAAGTGTCAATCACTTGTCTTTATTAAAAGTAGTAGGAATTACACCTACTGAGTTATTCTTGACTTTCAAAACCGCTAAATTTTCGAGTAATAATGAAACTTTTCTACTTAATGAAAGATTTCATGTCCCATGTATTCTAATCGCCGATGTTCAGACTGATGTTTAAGAGAGTCGGGTTGCGGGCCCAATCCTGATCCCATTCAGATTAGCTGCTCTTTTTGTTACAGATTTTATAGGCTTGGAGCCAATATTTATGCAATTATTGCCCATGTCACTGTCAAAAAGAAGCCGAAAGGGGTTGATTATTGAGCTATAAACCGGATTTTTGCTGTCAGGCTGGCTGAGGTACAGGAAATCAAGGTTTGAGCAGTGCAAATACCAGAGTGCTGGTTTTCCCTGAAGGCAGAGGGAAAAGCAGGTCTCACCTGCTCGCTGGCCCGCTCACCCATCCATCTGTCCGTCCGTCCGTCCGTCTGTTGGAAGCCGAGCACACGGGGCCGCGGCGCCGGTCCCACGGCGGCAGCAGGATTTCCTCTCCCCGAAGCCTGTCCCCAGCGCGTTTGTCTGCCAGGAAATCGTGTTCCCCGCGAAACCCGAAATACCTGCCGGGACCTGCTCCTGAGATAGCCCCCGAGAAGCCGCGGCTGAAGGC